CGAACTGCAAACGTTACATTGTTAAACATAAATTAATATCCGTATAAGCACGCATTTGTTATCTATAATGATGAAAAAGACAATCTTTTTTTTTAACCTTCTCATGACTGTTCTACACCATTTATTTTTCATCCTTTTTAAGCTTTTATGAAATTCCAACGTAAAATGTATTCACACAAAACACGCACACACACTTGTGTGCGTGCCCGTGCACGCAGTTAGAATATTTCCAGTCAAGCATCTCACTCCAAGCGTAAAACATGGAATGCTTGAAGGATAGGGTTGTTATTATTTATACTTCATATCAATGACTTACGTGTTGTACTTATTTACCCGAAAGTGGGCCTGAGTGTTCATGATAGCAATATTTTTCTTCACAGCAACGTAATCTATCTAAACCAATGATTGCCTATAATTAAATTTCAGTGGTAGCTTAACTCCAGGAAATATAACTGTAAATGTTGTAATTATATATTTAAAACCAAGCCCCTTCCCAAGACACGCGACATTGTGCTAGCTCTAAGCATTCAAGGAACGTCCTTGCAATGCGTTACACCGCAAATATTTTGAGATGTTTGGTTCGGAGAAACTGCGCTCAAAAAATATTTTCCGGAGAAACTGCGCTTCTTACCCCGAAAAGGGCTCTTTGCTCCTCAAAAAGACGAAATGTCACGCAAAAGAATGCACACGGCACCGCAAGGAGGGGCACTTTCCTCCTTGTGAAGTGCCCGTTTTTTTTTTTAAGTAACTGCAGGAATTTTGGCGTCGTGTGCAAACGACCTATCGGTGTCTACACAAGCCTGTTTACTTTCAGACGGTGCTGTATAGCGTGGCGTGGTGTAGCGGTTAATGTACGGGCATACTGACTGTGTGGTCGTGAATTCGAGTCCCGTGTGTCTACTGTAAATTTTCTGAAATTTATTTCCGAATTCGATGCTTGCACATCGATAGTACATCTAATCAAATGCCTGCACGCACTTAGAAAGGCTGGTTAAGTCAACCAAATGCTGATTTTTCTTTCGCGCAAAATAACTGTTGCCCCTTCGCAGTTACTCCCAAAATGGTGCAATGGGGTGTTCCAGGTTAGTTACTCCTCTAAAGGAGTAATTTTGATATCCTTTTCCTCCTTTACTACTTAGAGTGTGTCTCTTGAAACGTGCACGTTAATGAGCTCGTGAATGATTTATTCAAAGCATTTACTGTCCTTTACAAACTGCTGTAGGGTATAAGTTCTATTTATACTAATTAGCGCGGTATACTACGCTAATTTCTACCCATGCATTTTGATTTGGTATTTGAGTCTGAGGTACTACGACGAGAACTCAAACACGCGGTCCATGCACTATCGCTAGCTGCCCTTACCGAACGTGGCTTTCTGAAATGAGTTTGAGATATGTGGTATACAGCAAACCGGAGAGGCTGCAAAAGAAAGGTGACTGTAGTGTAATCATATACTCACTCATTAAGCATTACACGATTAAGGATTGTAAACCGGTTCTTAGATGTGGAAGCATAAATTTCCAGAAGATTCAAAATATTCTTTGTACGACTATCAATGCAGCAAACTAATAACTGGGCTGCGTACGCGCATGAATTAAGGTAGTTCCAGTATTTAGTATCGCGCGTTCACACTTTACAATCCCTTAACAACGCACGTTCATTTCACTGAACAAACAGTATTTAAACAAAAAGTGCATGAGTACTTGATGGAACGATTTCTTTTTTTACCTCCTCATGACAGTTTCATACCATTTTCTTTTCTTCCTTCATACGGCGTTAAGAAATCTTGATTTGTTATTTTTGCATGGTCTGCCCCACGGCTGTGTCATGCCATTTTCTGTTTCTGGTGTTTATTTCTCAGATAGCCTTCACTATACAGGGCGCCCCAGCCTACTGCGACACATTAGCTCAAGATAAGAACTTCGCGAGACGTATACAACTCTAAAGAAAACCGCAAAAAACAAGTATACGGGACGTTCTTGAACGTTTATATAAGCGTTCAAGAATTTTGTGTGTAGAAACCACGCTTGCGCTCTGTACAACAGCGTCTATAGCATGTGTCAGTAATTCAACGGGCGCTCGTACAGTTCACAATTGAGGAGGCACGTCCGCCGGCATATACATGGAATACGAATAAAGACACGCCTATCAGCGTGAGCGAGTTCGAGAGTTCACGTACGCAGTACACGTCCTAATGTGTATAACTAAAATGAGCGTCATGAATGCGTGACGTCATGAGCTCGGACATGGCGGTCACAGGTGCGACATATGCGCTCCAAGCGCCGTCTTTCGTCCGAGACGCGCAGCACGACTGTCACGTGATTAGTCGGCGTGAGCCTTTCCGGGGTAACACTTGAAGCGCGCCTTGCACTTTCCGCTCCAACGCCGGGTGATGGTCTGGTTGACGGCGAAGTAGCGCGTCATCGGCTCCGACCTCGTGTACGCCGGCCAATCTGCGGAGCTGCGTCCGTGGAGACGGCAATGTTGATGCAACTTGGCCGATACGAGCGAAACACACACGCTATACATGTTCAAGCCGCAAATGCGCAAATGCGCAGTGTTGCGCCGTAAGCTAGACAGATGCACAAAAATATCGTATACAACAACAACAACAACAACAACAACAACAACAACAACAACAACAACAACAACAACAACAACAACAACAACAACAACAACAACAACAACAACACAACAACAACAAAACAACAACAACAACAACAATAACTAATAATAATAATAATAATAATAATAATAATATAATAAATAATAATAATAATAATAATAATAATAATAATAATAATAATAATAATAATAATAATAATAATAATAATAATAATAATAATAATAATAATAATGACTATACACCCACTGCAGGGCGAAGGCCTCTCCTCAAGCGTGTTAATCTCATCTTTATGCCTCCCACTGGGCGCTTGCCTTTTCTTAAATCTTCCCTGCCACTCTTAATGACCGTGCGTTATCTCGACTCCTCGCCGTATCAGCTCCCTATTCCTTCTCAATTTCGCCAGGCTGGTTATCCGGGCACGTTCGTAGTTCATTTTTATGAACGGTAAAAATACCCTGGAGGCAGGGGATGAACCCACAACTAAGGAACACGCGCGCGCACGTGCATGTGTGTTCCTTTGTTCTGCTATCGCTTCCAGTGCGTTTTCACCATTTGTATTTTTTTCTTTTAACTAAGATGTCCTTAACATTCATCTGCTCTCTGACCCACTCTGTTCTCTTGTACATGGTTACACCTTTCCATGTTTCGCTGCATCGTCCTGAACTTAAGTTGAACCCTTTTCGTAAGTCCACCGGTCACCATTCCGTAGGTAAGTACCACTAAGGTGCAGCTGTTATATACCCTTCTCTTGAGGGACATTGGTAAATTATACCAATCATAATTTGAGAATGCTTGCCCAATTCACTACACCCCACTCTTTCCCACCAAGTTATTCCTCTCTCATGGTTGTAATTCTGCGTTTGAAATTCGGACTAGTTGGTTCGGATTCGTTGCTTTCAAATCGCACGGAAAGATGGTCACGATAGAGGGGGCATAAATACAGGACGACGTGCTTCTTTTGTGGCCGTCTTATATTTAAAATCAATTGGGATTTACGGTTATTGTATACCTGCTCTAAATATATTGATGAGTGATATGTGGGATTTAACGTTCCATAACCACCCATATGATTATGAGAGACGCCGTAGTAGAGGGCTCCGGAAATTTCGACCACTTGCGGTTCTTTAACGTGCCCGTAAATCTGAGCACACGAGACTGCAGCATTTTCGCCTCCATAGAAAATGCAACCATCGCAGCCGGGATTCGATCCCCGTGACCTGCTGGTCAGCAGCCCAATACCTTAGCCACTAGACCACCGTGATGGGGCCACACGTAATTTGAGATACTTCCAATTGATTTTCAATAGAAATATCGAAATCTAGCTTGTGGGATACAGGAAAGACGATGCCACTCTGCATGCAATGCCAGACGCGAACATCCAGAGACGAGGAAATGACGGTACTTTCAATCAGGGAAGCAGGACTCTGTGCTGTTCTTAAGGCTGTGAAATTTCACATAAACGAGTGCGTACCCAACTTGACAAGTGAAAATGTAATTGAGAAGTTTTTGTTAATGAGTCAGTTCAACGTAACTTTAGCAGCAACAAAGCAGTCCACGCCAACGTAGTACTGTGTGCGTAGATATGCCCGAGTGTCATAGCATATTCATTTAACGAATGTGCATTGTATAAAAAAGAACACTGCTTATCTGAACAAACAGTGGTAGACGACATACGGTAAAAACAAGTGGACCTGGGCAGGTCACGCTATGAGAAGGACACCTGACTGATATTCAGAACATTGAAATAGATACCAAAGGATAGGAAACGCGTACGGCAAAGAGTCTGGTGCAAAATAAAAATGAGAAATCTGGACGCACAAAATGGAATCAGCCTGTGCAGGGCAGTTAAGCTGGAGACCATTGGGAGACGCCTTCGTGTACCGCTCTGGACATAAAACAAGTTGCTGATCTTTATGATCATAATAATGGTATCACATACTGTGCGCTGGGTGAAACACGTTAACCCCTGCGCAGATAGAAACATTCTTATCAGAACAAGGAAACCAGATAGCAACCACAACATTATAGTGACTAGAAACCTTCCTAGCCACTATAACAACACTGAGGTGATGAGGCACGCATGGTGCAAGGGATAAAACCGGCATGGAGACGTCGGCCTTGGTCAGTGTCCACAATGTTTGCAAGGCTATTCAGTAATGGAATCATTGAAGGATTTTAGCTGCATGCGGTCCGAGAAGCACCGTCCATTCTGCCTAGACCATGGTGTACGCGCCACCGCAGGAACAGAAAGTCATGACTGCCGGCAGCTGAACGATATAGTATACACTTCGTGACCGTCGTGCCGTCGATGATGTGGCAGCGCGCGAATGTGTCTCGTTGGATAAAAAAAAAAGATATTTAGCATGAAGCCAGCCTACCCTGCGCTGATGAAGGAGAGGACGGCGTCGTTGAATGCTTGCACGCCTTGAGAACCGGCGCCGTCATGAAAGGCAGCGTGGAAGTCGTCACTGTGCGTCGTCGGCGCCTCGGCTGGCGTGCCGTTCTCGTGGTCGACGAGCGCGAACTCGTACACGTGCACCAGGGCCGCGTCGGACAGGTAATCGGCGAACGCGAGCGCCGGACACACGTACAGCGCGTCGTCCAGCAGGGCGCCGTAGTGGCGGAACACGCGGCGCGCATCGTTCAGCGAGTCCAGGTCTGTGCGCAGGTTCTCGGCTTCCAGGATCTCCTCGCCGAAGGTGAACGTGAACAGGGCAGAGACGGTGCTGCGGTGCTGGTCCGGCGTGAAGTGCGCCCACGAGCCGTTCGTCGAGGCATCCAGGAAACGCGCGAGGAAGTGCTGCCCTTCACCCCGCGTGAAGCCCACCAGCACCGACAGCGGGGCGCCCGAAACCGGAAGGGGCCGCCTGCTGGATGCCAGTATCTGCACGCAGTGGATAGGCCATTTGCATTGCGTGCGCGGGGGCACGATAGTACGATCATACAAGAGTGACGTATACCAAAGTTCAGCGTTACGGTACCACGGTTCATTCACTTCGCCAGTGGGAGTCTTGTCTTTTAGGAACGCCTGAGGCAGAGACTTTCGAGTTACTCCCTTCGAGGCTGTGACTTAAAGGCTCCGGGTTGAGATCCCACGACACAAACGGTGATTTGTCGCCCACTTTGATTTAGTTCAGTTTATGTACTGTACAATTGCTACTACTCAGTTGAGAGAACAATTAATACCTCGTATACTTTCCCTGGTCTAATAAGGTGTAGAATTCATTTGGTTCTGTGTAATAAACAAACGAGTCCCTCACAAAATTTCCCTTCACTCGTCCATTAAAGTGCACTCTGTGGCGCATATAGCGAATGACGCTGCAGTGAAAAACGTGCACGCCATGGTTTAGACGTGGTATAGTAAACGTAGTTTATAATCATCATCATCATCATCATCATCATCATCATCATCATCATCATCATCATCAGCCTGACTACGTCCACTGCAAGACAAGGGCCTCTCCCATGTTCCACCAGTCAACTCGGTCCTGTGCTTGCTGCTGCCAATTTATGCCCGCGAACTTCTTAATCTCACCTGCCCACCTAACTTTCTGTCTCCCCCTAACCCGCTTGCCTTCTCTGGGGATCCAGTTAGTTACCCTTAATGACCAGCGGTTATCCTGTCTACGCGCTACATGCTCGGCCCATGTCCATTTCCTCTTCTTGACTTCAACTACGACATCCTTAACCCCCGTTTGTTCTTTAGTACACTCTGCTCTCTTCTTGTCTTTTAAGGTTACACCTACCATTTTTCTTTCCATTGCTCGCTGCGTCGTCCTCAATTTAAGCTGAACCATACTTGTAAGTCTCAAGATTTCTGCTCCATAGCAAAGTACCGGCAAGTACCCGTAATTATAATGGTCTTTTATATCGTCTCTTTGTAACAGATCATTTTTCAACCTTTTCCATCTTGACGAGCAGGCGCAGGACTACTTGTGACGCTATGTCTACGTAACACTGCATGCGCATACATAAAGTTTGTTGACTTCATGTGTACTAAACGTCTTGTTGTATGCACAAAGACTATCTGTGACAATATTTTGAACAATGCAAAATGGTGTGCGCCCTCGAGGGTCCCTCACCAGCGTCTGAAAATACAAAAACCGAGTGCATTATTTTGCCCTGGTGCTAATTGTTTGGCAAAATACAATAATCCGGCATCTGGAGTCACTTTTCAGTTGTGATCTGCCGCAGCTGCTGGTTAACAGCTACGCACACAATGTGCTCGAAATCGGCTGTCAGAAAACAGGCCTGAATGAGAACGAAAGTGGCCACACTCTATTACGCGTGTACGACGAGACCAAAGACACTGCGTGTACAGACAACACCATCTACATGTGTGACTGTTTATGAGGTAGCTAATCCCTGAGCTGGGGAACATTGCCTCTACCTATATGTATACCTTGGGGTCCACGGGCACCAGGGGATCGCCGTACGTGGGCAGGAACGGGCTCAGCGTCTGCGCGAAATAGTCGTCCACGGGAAGCGCCACCAGTGCCGATGCGAGCGCCGCCTGTAGGCAGGCCAGGGCGCGACGCTCGTCTTCCGCCGTCTCGTCGGGAGACGCCCAGAGCTTGTGCACAGTGAACCGCACATTCTCGGCGTCTGCGCTCTCCCCGAGGCAAGACAGAGGCGAGCCGCCCTGCGCGAGGTCGATGATGATGGAACATCGCACACACTACGACGTATTATCCAGAAAACACGACATGACGCCACAAATACGTTGTCCAACGGTCGCCATATCAAAAAATTGCAGAGCAGAAACTTTTATTTTTTTATTATGCAAGCACTGTGTATACACTTTTCTCTTGTGCAAAATACGTCATCGCCTAACATAGCGACAGGGTACGTGTGCCCGTTGGGCTGGCAGGGTGGCTGGCACGGCCGGTTTTTAACGAGTTAGCAACACAAAAAGTAAAACGCGTTGAATACTTTAACAATCTTTTGGGGGAGAGTGCACATCTCATTGTGTCAGAAGCCGCGCCTTGATCGGATGTGATCCTATCGCACCCGACATGGCTGATCTAGCTGATTCAAATGGGTCCCGAACAAGGTTTCAGTTCAAAAGGACAAAAATAGCCAAAACATTTGGACAGACTACCCAGAACATAATCAAATTCAACCAAAGGTCATCAATGTAGCCACAAGTATGCCCATGGGTGACTGAAAAGAATTGCGACATTTTGGTTTAAATGACTAAATGCAAAGAAAAAAAATTGTTGTAAATGTAGATAAGTACAGCATGAACGCTTCAAAATCCAAATTGCTGAAATTCAAGCATAAATTACTGACGTCAGCAACTATTTCGTGGGGGATGATGTTTTCTTTCGCTGTGGCAAAAATACACCCTCTCTAAACATGTTGCGTGACTTTCGGTAAATGACTAGAAGTGAAAATGTGTACGATATGAATGTGCTCAAAATATCACGCGCTGGAACTGAACCGTAAATTGTAGCTTCACAATTTCATGCGTGATGACGAAGTATGAGCAGCTGATATATACCTGAGCCAAAGTCCGCCCCTAATCCTATGCAGTGACCTGCAGTTGGTATATGATGTACAACTTCTTACATCCACGATAGCAGCCAGCTGTGGAAACGGATCACTTTCAACTTTCCCGTTCACTTCGAATTAACCTTAACCGTCACATTCAGCAACAGATAGATCACCTGTGAAATGAAATAACATGCAACAATTTCCCGCGAGTCCCAGCAGCGCCTCCCTACCAGGGGCGTAGGCAGCATTAAACTTTCTTTCAAGAAGGTAGGGGGGTGCACCTTCTTTATTTGAAGAGGAGGCCGAGCAGGTAAATGATCGTTTTGCACGGTGTAATAGTTTTGCACGTTTTCCATGAAAAAAAATAGAGCGAGGGGGGGGGGGGGAGGCGTGGGCCCGGTGTATCACCCCTTGGCTACGTACGCCCCAAATGCCTTTCACGTATCCAAAAGTCTTTCGTTTTTTGTAATGTAAGTGCCAAATTCATTTTTTGAGAGCTGAAAACACGTCTTGATCGCCATGTTTTTACATCGCATACTCGCCGCCAGCAGCTTCAAGTTCACCATATATTCATAATTTTGTTCAAGTAGAAAGGGGAAGTAACCAAAAAGTAGCAGAGAGGCATCTTCTGCCGCCACAGCTGGCCTAAAGAAAGTAACCGAAGTAGATCAATGTAGCAGGACCTGGCGACACCGACAAGTAATAAAAATTGTGGACTCGAGGTGTAATTGAACGCAGGCCATCCTTGTACTGGTTGAATGTTGTGCCACGGAGGCACAGCAGTATACTTGCAACTGCCCAGAAAAAGACAAACAAATTATACAGGTGTCATGAAGTGCGAAGAGTCACAACATATTGAATATTACGCGGAATAAATGTTGAATCGCACCAAATCTAGAGGTTGGCTTAAATATTCATCCATTACAAAGCGCTCAGGCATAATAAGTTGTTGTCATTAGCAACGTCATCAAGGTACACAATTGCACAGGTACGCGTATTTCCTTGCGGACACATCATAGGCACCACTTCGGTAGTTCCCAAAATGACGAATTATGTCTAGATGCCGTAGTGGACACTTGAGCACTGTCCTTGCCGTACGAATTCCAGGCAAAATTAAAACGGCCAATGTTGCGCACAAGGAAGTTGCCTTCCTTGTGGTCCTATTGAGGTGTCCATCGAGAAGCGCTATCGCCTTCTGCTCATGAAAGCGAGGCTCAGGGATCATCTAAGTTTTCGGTTGGTACCCGGAACTCTTCCTTCCACATCCCGACGAAACGAGCTTCCGTAGCACTATCTCACGAGCTCCAGAAGCACCACTCACCTGAAGCACTGCCCTCGAGATGAGCGCACTGCCACTCAACGGTGACAGGATGTGCAGTCCGGCGCTGATGGCGCCAGCGTCGACGCCCCAAAGTACCAGGCTTCGTGGGTCTCCGCCGAAGGCAGCGGCATTTCGCTTGAGCCACTGAATGGCAAGGTGCTGGTCCCAAAGGCCCTGGTTGCCAGGGAAGCCGGACACGTTGCCGAACAGGAACCCGAACACGCCCAGTCTGTCATTACGATAGACATTGGAACACGTAACAAAGAAGATAAACAAGGACACCAGAAAAGCATCTCTGAGTACATTCCACTCCTTTGGAGAAAAAAAATCAAGGCTAGTTGAGAGACTCAAGTTCTTTTTTATTGGCGTTCTTTGGCCAGTAAGTGCCGTTCCACGCGCTTCCCGCACAGCCGCAACGCACGTACCGGCACACTTGCCGCACCCAAGCAGAGGGTGAAAGAGCGTCGCCTATTGGCTTATTTGTCCCCCGCTTGCGTGCGGCAGGGGTCCCGGCACGTGCGTTACGGCTGTGCGGGAAGCGCGTGGAACGGCCCTAACCCAGCAGGAATCATCACATCACACTTTCTACACGAAAGAATACCCCTCAAAACAATCTGTGACATTTTATGACGTTATATCATTGGCAGTGCACGTAACTTGCAACAACATTACGGCGGTCCTGAAATAGTATAGAAGAATAAATACAAAGAAAAACATGTCACTGACGCTTACAAAAGTAACCGCGTAATGTGAAATATGAGCGTCAAGAATGTCGCTTTCGCTGCGCCAAGCCAATGTCCCAGCAACTTGCTTCGCATGCAGCGCAACACGAAACATTTCTATCAGTTGCATCACTCACTGTTTCGGAAAGAAAGTCTCTAAACCACTGCTGGACAGAGTGCCTAAATTCTGCCGGACAGAGTGCCTAATCGCAGAATGGTAACGCGGGAAACGCCGTGAAACTTTTATAATCAAGTTTTCGACCTGTGGCGATTATGAAGTCGTATACACACGACACATACTGCAAGCAATGAGAGGCGAGTGTGGCAGCGATTACCATTCCTGCGCCGCGGTTCACTGCACATGAGTGCACTTGCGTGCACGCGTCTCTATTCTATATGCTTCTGTACAGTTGCTGCAACGCCCGTAGCGCTTCTCGAGAATGCATCGCGCTTTTTTCCTCGTAAGCAACACATTATGGAGCGTGGATGAATAATTAAACAAATTCTCTCATTTTGAACGCCATATGTGGTGCGCATGAAAGCAATAAGAGTACGTACAGCAGGGTGGACGACTCCATAATCCAGCTTCAATGCTCGTCCGCTGAGCTGCGCCGGAAAGATGTTTCTGACAACTTTTAAACACAATTTCAAAATACTAATTCCACTCGGTCACGGAAAGGATGCTTAAATTTGGCTCTATATCACGGCTCCTTTTTATTTGGGCAGATGTTGGGCCCTTTAAAAGTTAACCTTAGAACAAAAATGCTATATAGTTCAGAACAGAAGTCCACATTTCAGTAATTGTGGAGATCAATACCGACACGTTTCTCAAAACCTCACCCGAAATGACGTTCACAGATTATCCATATGTATACTATATATGTGAAAAGCCTTCTTTTGAAATGGAAATGTTAAATTACTTTTGTTTAAACATCTTCTTTTTCAAACTCCTCATTCCTCAATTATTCATCGGTATACATTGAAGTAGATGTTTAAGTTTTGTTCATCATCTGATCAATGTGAAGATCAGTGTGACATCGTATGGCACCTGTAGTTTGGCACGGCGACGACACAGTCACAGCGTGTGGCCATCTGAGCTCCGTCGTATTGGCGCTGCCTGTTGGAGCCGTGCGTAAAGTGGCCGCCGTGCAGGAGCACCACCACTGGCCGCAGTTTAGCCGGGCTCAATCCCGGAGTCCACAGGTTGACGTGCAGGCAGTCCTCGGTCCACTCAGGACTCGGCTTGCCCTGCGTCCGTTCTGCGGAGCGCAGCCATTGCGGCGGGCAAGGTGGCGCCTGTCCACCGAAAAGTTTCCCTTACTGTTCAAGGCTAGAAATTAATTAGTCACAGTTTTCACGGCCAATAAATGACCGTGGTCGAGAATTCAAAGCTAGATATACTTAATGTATATGATACGTTTAGGTATAACTCAGTATCGCATAGGTCTGGCAAGCGAACACAGCTGTGCGGTGAACTTGCACTCTGCTTTTTTACGGGCGACATGTCCACAGCGTCGCCGATTAACAAGTCTGGCGTAATGAAGAGCGGTAATAAACACTCAATGTCGATAAATAGTGTTAATTCAGTTCGTTGCAGCGACTGCGCCAAGAAACAAAAGAAATTCACTCGAGAGTCAGCTTCTCCGCGATGCATAGTAGCTAGGGGCGTTTTAAAGACAGATGCACAGCTCATCATCGTAAAGTTAGCATATACAGTAACTTTACCCAAAACTAAGGCTCCTGTACATTCAAGTAAAAGAGCTTCATCCAAAAATAGGGTGCTTCGATGCTCCCGCTCCCCTACAACTCAGCCGGAATGGTGGGGGACGAGGAGCACAGAGGCACCTCACTCAAAACGGAACCTATAGCAGCCAGTGAAAAAGCTTCAAACGCAAAACAGGAAAAACTTAAGAAATGCTGTACGAACAATATTTACAGAGATCGCTCTGTTCTTTTTGTATAGGAACACACCGGTACAAGGCTGATTGCATGGCTAGAAATTCCGACGCAGACGAATGACGAAGCAATTAGAGTTCACTAATTAATTTTATCGAAACACATCTCGTGTCTTTCGTGTCCTTCTTGTATCTGTGTCGTCGTTTTGTTCTCGCGCTATAACTATCGTCATGCCATACCAACTAGCCCAAGCTGCCACACATCTCCGAGATTTGATTTACGTGTACCTGTTATTAACACCATTACATGGGAAGGGTGCAAGATAACACCTACAAAAGACTGCGTAGTGAAGACAATACGCATCTATCGAAGTTTGTACAAAAGCTCTCAGAGCGGTAAATTACACTCCTGCTTTCACAACTCCCTCTCAGCCTGTACAGCCCCGTGCACTCTCTATTGGCGCACCTTGAACGTGGCTCTCAGCTCGCCGTTCCATGGTCGCACGGGCGTGGGTCTCTGGAACCGGGCGGCGCCCAGAGGGGGCTCGGCGTAGGGCACGCCGAAGAAGGCCAGCACGGTGCCGTTGTTGCCGTCGTCCACCCACACCCCGCGCAAGCTGCCGCTGCTCGTGACCACCGAGTGGCTCAGTTCCAGCGATCGCCGCTGGAGTGCATGCTCCATGCCTCCCTTGCGGCCCAGGTAGAGGATCCACAGTGCCAGCGTGGCAGCCGTCGCACAACACAACGTCATGCCTGACGACACCCGTCACGCAGAGCGTCAGGCACGGAACAATCTCGCTATTACCACACGCACTTGCAACAAGCGCCGGTCCACGACCATTTGTGACCAACGATCGACACGAGGCGGCAGATGTTCGCATCTTCGTGACACCTATATAGACAGCAAAGTCGCGTCTTCACGCGCTGCCACTTCCCTTAAGCTCGTTCTCTTCGTGGGCACTGTTTGCTGTATTCTTATGGTGCGGGATGAGGCTTTATTCTTTTCCTATCTCACAATAAAAATGTTCGTGGGCATTTAATTAGTTCGGATGTTTACGACTGCAGCCGCGGGGCTCAGGAAGTTGGTTTAGACTTAACTCTTATACACCTACAGCTATTACAAACAAAATGTATGTTTGGCTCAAATGATATACGCACAGAGTTTCAGTGAAGTTAGTTTCTTTATCCACTTGTTGACCGTGTCGCTGACGGCGGCGGGTTCAGTAACTTCTATACTGGCACGCTTTCACTCTTGGTAGGCTTCTCTTTAACGTGCTAATTTTGTATACCTTTGCCCCGCGGTGTTTCAGAGGGCAACATTGCCTTTGCTTGAGATTTCGTGGCCTGTCGTCTAGCAATAATTACTAAACTGTTGCACTCAACCTGTCGCTGGCACACACAGACGGCCTAGCTGGTGTGCTATCTACGACGAGTGTGATATTGAGTGACCAAGTACCAATGAACCAGCAGTTAAAGCTTCGCCTGGTGATGTGATACGGCAGACTCAAGGCTATGGTAGCCACCTTAGCGAAGCTCCAATCGATCGCAGCTGCGACGCCTCATTATGGTGGCTAAGCCCTCTTAGCCTCACTGCAACGGATCACGTGGCGTGATGTCAGGCCTGCCACTTTCAAGCTCTGGCGGCTCCTGTTCGTCAACACGTGACCTTGGTAGGCTTAGCTTAGGATGGCTTTCACTCTAATAACTGCAGCAGCGAACGAGTGAGCCAACAGTCTCTTTGCGATCTACGTGGCCGTTTTCAACCAGTCGCTTTTCGATTAACTTGGCCTAGCGGCCAGTTCTAGTCACAGGCGTAAGCGAGCCTTTACAATTGAAGTCGAGGGTCTGACAAAATACTCCTGGAATTCGTTCAGCGTCACCTCGTCCACCTCGGCTATTTTCCTGCGGCTGAATCTTTGAAGTCGGCGCCTCTCTCACGTTCAGAACATCAGCAAGCCCCCCTCCCCCCACCCTTCCCCAATATGTCATATGTCCATATGGTGTTGGGGTAGCCCATGTGCCCTCATGCACGTAAACACAGGAACGCCTTCGTAAACGTGAAGTATCGTCCAGCAGATGAGAAGTTCGCTGCTGTGGTACACTTTATCCCTTGTGCGCAGTGCGACAGTACGCTATAGGGACAACGGAAATTTTCGAAGAATGCTCCAGAAGTCTCGGAATGATTTCAACAAGCACCACGTGACGTCAAGCACCCTTACACAACATTTGATTCTACAGGCCACCAGATAGGCTGCAATTGCACCTGCATCATTTCAGGTGCAAGAAATCTGAGCCTGCGGCTTTATCTTGAGTCACTGCGTATCCGTAGACAGCGGCGCGCGCTACTGAAGAAGGCTAACGATGATTACTTGCATTTTCGAACTATTTACCCTTCGTTAGAACAATGTGTGAAATTTTTCATTCTGTTCAACTGATGAACAACGAAGCCAAGGAAAGTACACGTAGGGGGCATTATATGTGGTTCCCTAACAATATTCTGATGATTCTCACTTAAATTGAAGGTAACCAATGTAGCCGCCGTTCAATCCCTCTTTCAGTCGGAGTGATTCGAACCGAATTACGCGTTAATTACACTTTTAATGAAACATCGAAAATGACCCCCCTCGGAAAGTATCGCCTACTTTCATAGCGAAATCTTCACGGCGACAGACTTGATGCCTTAAGCAGCATTGACCTTTTTGTGCACTCACAAAACAAGATCCTAAATTTTTTTTTACGGAACGCAGCGGGGCCCGGTAAGCTCACAAGGCTGACCAAAAGCGTGCAACGAACCAGTAGCTGAGTGACATTGACAAACGGAGGCCGGTCAGTCCACTTTACTAGCAAGGAAAGCACATAACGATAGTAACAGCGAATAAAGCTAGAAACAATACGGCGAGAACTAAAAGGTTAAAGTGTTATGGGAATAGGTCAATACTCAATTTACCTACTTACGTCAATAGCGAAGCTTCATCTGTATAGACAATTCCCCGCCTGCTACGTCCGGTCGTCTTATTTCATCTTTTGTTTGTACATTCGCACTACTCGCGCAATCACTATAGTATGTCCATTAGATTCACCTGCACCACTTGGAACCAGTTCACGACTGTGCACGCGAAGTTCAGAAATTGTGCAGCGTGAGTTCAGCGGCGCAGGCACAGCGTGACCCCGAAACGAATGACGATGAGCCAACAGTGTGCAGGCCTTATTTCTCTTCGCCTAATTTACACAGTACAGCTAACACTGAACGATGGCGAACCACACATGTGGACAGTTTATGAGGCGCAAACATATTGGCAAAACAAACCGCGTTTGTACAGGCGGATATGAAGTTTAAGCCCCCTACGCTAAAGTGCTGCATCGTCTGCTCAGCTGCACATGCGGCTGCTCCAAGCCAGCACCGTCAGCGTAGGTGGTGCAGGAAAATCTTGAACCAGTGCTGCCCCTCTTCTGCACCTTTTGAAATGAATGACAGAGATCAAAGTTCGTCAATGCTGCACCACTGAAACGAATGGCAAAGTGCAGCACCCTGTGAACTGGTTCACGTGGTGCAGGTGAATCGAACGGACCTACTTTCTGTGGAAAACAAGCATCGCAGCGGGAGGATCAAGATGTTACTTGAGCAAGCGTACTTACATCCATACTCGAGTGCTTGAAAGAGAAATGCTTGCTCTCGCTCCTCTTCGAAGTCTTCCTTTTCCGTCGTACGCACTAAACTCGAATCTTGATCTTCGTCTTGGTTCTCGTACACAGGAGGTGGCGGGCGTCGGCTGGAAGCACTCGAAGTAGAACGAGAACCCATTTCGTTTTGCTTGTTTTGTCGCCTAATGGAAACTGGCTCATACCCACAAGTGGAAATACTGTTGGGGGTTTTCCTCCGGACATGACTCATACGCCAATGGAAGGAATTAGCTGATTCGTGGGTGAAATTATCCGATGATATCTGTAGCTTATTATACGCAGATGCTATTGCTAATGCATTGATCTGAAGTAGGAGTCATTCATATTCAAAAGTTCAAGGCAAGAATTTCGATATATACTTTTCGAGTCTCGCTGATGAATTCTTCAATGGCAAAGAAAAACGTCCCCGTGACTGTATCCGAGAGTAGCGACTCCATAAAATATTATGTCATGTCCTGATACTTCCAGGGCCAGCTTGCGATGAGATGGTAGTATTATTTTTTTTTTCCGCAATGGTGTGTACAGGCGACAGGATAAAAAGAAGTGGCCAATACTAGCATCCTCAATGCGGAAGATGCACATAGAAGAAGATGCTAAACCTACTCTATGAAAATAAACCTATAGGCAGGTAACGCAGCAACAAAACATTGGTATGGCCACTTCTATCGTTCTTGACTTGGATACCCCAGGGATGTAAGAGGTATGCTCCGGAGAAGCAGTCAATACTGGGCCCGATGAACTTTTCCTTGATGTTAGCGAAACCTTGCCATCGTAATGTGCGTACTCACTTGAATAACACGCACCACTGATGATTCTGACGATGATAATGGCCTCAAACTATAGGTACACCAACAGAGTGGTTGCTTGCGCTGGTTCGTATTGCATTATAAAGGAAATGTACTTTATTAGTGCACAGAACGTTTCAAAAAAGAAGTCGGATACAATGCGCTCTGTGTGCTCTGTCTTATATTACTTCTTTTCTGAAACGCTCTTTGCACTAAGAAAGTATATATATTTTTTAGAATACAGGCAAATACTTATTGAACGGGAAGCGCAGGCGAAAGTCCACGTTCACAGGAGTGTTGTGCTGAAAAACAGCACCGTGAAAGAAGTAAAAGGAAATAGGCGAGGAGCAGAAAAGCATGCTTCATATATGTCTTCCTCTTTTTCGTGAAAATTAATTTTCACGGCGAATACTTCTCAGAATATCGCCGATGACTTTCGGTTCTATGTCGCTATGTGATTCTCAACCTTTCCTTCAATTTGTCCATACACGCCCCGCAGGGAGCAACTGTAGGTTCAGAATGGTAGTGGCCGGTCATTATGTGGGAATGCATGGCAAACGCGTTCCAGCTTATCCTTCCGTGAGTTTTGTTTACATAAGTAAGATTTTTTGCTAATAATTGACCTAGACATTCATACTCTAGTGCGGACTCTCAAGCCCCGGTTGCTTATTGGGAACATTCGCCGAGCCTCTAAAATCATAAAGTTATTTTCCTTTTTAATATTTATCTTCAAACCCACTTGAACATCTTCCCCCTTGAGGTCATCCACAGTAGCGAAGCCAGAAATTTTTGAAGCGAAACATAGTGAAAGGGCTTTTTGTAATCCGCAGATTTTCAGCCCCTTAATTGAACACATGGTTGTGTTTCAGTAGAGCACCCTTTCCTGATGCCAGCTAGCTCTTGGTTGATCTGGTTTCATCGAAGGGAAGCAAGACGCCTTTTCGATGGATGGATGGATGGATGGATGGATGGATGGATGGATGGATGGATGGATGGATGGATGGATGGATGGATGGATGGATGGATAGATGGACGGATGGATGGATGGATGGATGGATGGATGGATGGATGGATGGATGGATGGATGGATGGATGGATGGATGGATGGATGGATGGATGGATGGATGGATGGATGGATGGATGGATGGATGAGCGGATGGATGGGTGGATGGACGCACGAATGGACGGACCAGCAGGCAGGCGGGCAGGCGGGACGAAACGGATGTATGTATCCCTGAGAAATTCACCCCATTTAAAAGCGGCTGGAAGATATTTTACACATTGTTCTTTGGAAACAAGCTTTATTTTTTTGAAATGTATATTTTTCCCGAACATCTTAAACGGCCTGGCCTTGGCCGGAAGCTTTGTATACCCGTTAATGTTGGCGAAAGGAAACTGTGCTTTGTGCTTCTCTCTGTTGTGCAGAATTGCAGTTCAGAGGCCAAAGCGGAAGTGAATCGTGGTTTGAAGGCACCAGTATCCTGTTTCCTTCGAGACCTTGTGTATTCTCTCGACTTCTTAGTATACTCCACCTCGGGTTTTAGAAAATAAAGTACATAGAACTGAAATATGTTTTGAAAACGAATCGGTGAAATTTGGTTGAAATGATAGATAAAGAAAAATGTTCTTAGCACCATTGAAGAGAGGAGCAAGAAAACTTCCCTTCTCGGATTCTTGCAGTGCACAATGTAGCGAAGGAATTTAAGATCTCTTCCCAAAACTGCTTAAGGTCTGATAATCCCCGGACTCGAAGCACTGATGTTGATTAATGCGAAGTGTGTCTCTGCCTTGTCATGATTCTCTTCATATAGTTTTGAAAGTTCGACTCATTCATCTATAGTTTTTAAGTTCTTGTACAATCTCGCTTTTCACGTAATAATACGAGAATGATGTTTTTCCAGCTCGCTCGGTCCTTCTGTCATTGTACGTATAGTGTACTAAAATTAAAAAAAAAAGTATTTTAGTGTCCCTTAATGTATAAAAAAAAACAGCTTTCTGCCTTCCAACGATGCCTTGCGACTGAAATTATTTCTGTGGATGTCTTGTTGACCAAGCCATAAAACGTTCGTACAAAACACAAATAAGCACGTAAGGTTGAACCAGCGGCTCCAGTGTGCGCAGCATTCAACATCGTATACACCTCTTGCTTTAATTGCACAGAGGCTCCGATGCTGTCATCTATGAAAGAATGAGAGCAACCAAGCGCGCTTGCAGTTCATTCTACGCAGCGACAGAGGGAGCCACCACCAAAGCCATTTGTCGAGCACGACGTCAGCAACAGCGCGAGCAGCAGTGATTGATTGAATGGCAAGCATTCCTTATCGAGCTCCTGACACTCCGAGTCTGTCTGTCTGTCTGTCTACGACTTAGTGTTCTCATGGCCATCGCGTTATACCGAAATTGGTATGACAACACTGTCGTCAAATGAAACTTCTGACGTCCATGTCATGTACGTCATGATTTGCACGAGACGCTATTGATGCTCTTGTGGCGATTTCGTCAATCTGGCATATGCAAAAATTGGCATGACATGACATGAGTGCATCACCAACTCATGTGGCAGGTTGTAACAAGATAATCACGATGTACGCGACGTGTACGTCATAATTTACATGATGTAGTCCTGGTCGTCCTCACGTCAGTCTCTATGATTGGAGCGCTGTTGAACCTCTCAGTAACGAAAGGCCCCAAGAAATAAATTTCCTCGAAAACAAAGAAATCTGGCGTACCCGGAAAACATCCATAGAGTTGAATGCGTTAGCCCCCTATTGAAATTGAAGAGATCTTTAATTTAACATGCATAATGCATACCCGCAATATAAAAGTTTTAGGTAGTAATCAGCAATTTTTTTTTTTATTCAGCGTATCAGCTGGTTGGGAGCCCTGAAGTTGGAAAATACCACCACTCATTCAACAAGTACGTTCCCAGTTACCAGCATCGCTGTGACCATTATTGTCTATATTCGGCAGGATTGTCATGGTAACAATGGGACTGATGAGGGTTTACGAGTTCAACAAGACGCTGTTGAAGTGCATGACTTTTTGTGAGATAACACCGAACAGCTGATGCAAGAGAAGTTAAGCGGCGACGCTATCATTGATCGAAAGTGTGGGCGAAGAACATGAGAATGACGACGAGAGTAATACAACAAAACGCTAGAAAAGCCCGTAAGTTCGCGCGATGTCCTTGAGGCTTTTGCAGTCATTCGCTCTTTCGTCGGCACCCACGACGACGAAGCTGCTATGCAGAGCTTATCAAGCTGCGAGGCTAGAGCCGTCAAGCGAAAGACGGAGCAAGATGAACGAGTTCTTTAAAGAAATTAGATCATGTGAAGTGATCAGTGAGCGTCATTTTTTTTTTTATTTCGGGACGACAAAATGTTTATGAAGAAAACGCGATTCTCCTGGATTTCATAGTATAGGGTTTCGACGAAAATTGGTAATACACTAGTGAATGACAAAAATAAGTTATAGAAGTCTTAATGTGAGAATGACATACATGACATGTATGGCATGATTTACATGGAATTGGTGGTGGTTGTGATGTTGCAACAGGCGAGGCTAGCCTGGCCTAAATGGCTGGTAATTGTTCCACCTGTTACATGACATACTGTACTTACTCGCATAATCTTCGCACTTTTTATTTTTGCCGGAAAACTGATGCAAAGTTGGAAGGTGCGAGAATTACGCGGGGAAAACTTTCCACGAAAACGTATAGAGCGAAAAAGAAAACGAAGTGGCCGCAAATCGGGATTCTCACACCAGCAACTTGCAGCAAGCTTTAAGAAGTACTAATTAGAACTTACCTCAACAATAAAAGCAGAGATACAACACAAGACAAGATTTATTAAAGACAAAAAGTGGAAGCAAATAGTCGAGAATTAGAATACCGTACGCAAAGCTTGCGGACGTTGCGGGCTAGCGGTAGCGTCGCTCAACCGGAGCCCTCAAAAGGTAAGCGTGGGATGTCAGTATTGGGCTGATGGCTATTTAACAGAATCACCGCAGTTTCCTTCTGAAGAAATAAAGTTTGCCATCAATCCCAGTTTTAGGCACACGGCAGGCCCAACGCGCCTTGGTGGCTTTAAGCTGCCGTCACCAGTAGCGAACACAAAACTCGTAGACTCCGAAGGGCCTACCGGCGGCCCTGTTGCCGTTGTTTAGTGCATGATCTATCACTTGCAACTTAAAAGCAGCCGTACAGCTTCAGTATCGCTTCATAACGTGACAAGATTACCGACACAACATACAAAACACGCCGCAACGCACACTGACCACTTTGGCTTGGCTTGGATTGAATTGAATCTCTGTGCAATAGTACGCTTGATGCTTAAGA